CATTATTATCAGAAGAAAAACAAAATCACAAGTTTCGAATAATAATAATCGCTATTCAAAGCTCTTCTTTTTTACTTTGTTTCTCTCTTCTATGCAACTTGGTTTTCTCTTTGGCGCGATTCAAATTTCTCAGTCTCAGATTTTATTGTGCGTTAGTGTATGTTTGAAGACGGAGTGAAAACGAAAACATTTAATGGGTCCATGGGCCGTAAAATTATGGGCCTCGGACTAAGAATGTGTGTTTTTTTTTTGTTCTTTTCTCATTATTCAAAAACAAAATCTTTTCATTTCATCAAGTTACTTGGGATCTTATGAAATGTATGTTAAGCCCATATTTGTTATCTCTTTCTAATGTGGTCATCCAAACCTACACTTTTGCTTCTTGGACTTGTTGTTCTGTATTTCCTCAAAGAAGCAGCTGGATATTTTCTTTCCTAATCTGTAATCGTCTTTTTATATTCTTGTTACCAAATTGTAGTTTTAGAGCTTACTCTCGGAGGAGCTACTTATGGTTTTTTTTTTTTCAAGACTGACATCGAGCAGAGGAGTGTTTTTGTCTTGTCTCTGATTATACTCAGATGGATAGTATCTTGAAAGAAGAGAGGATATCTACTACACTTCTTTCTTTTTTTTTTGAGTAAAATGTTGACATCTGTTGCTTCACGTGTAATTGGCCAAAGCCAACATTAGGGTAAGAAATGAGATTGTACTCAACTGCTTGCCAATCGCCAATATTGAACATTTTATCCAAATTCATTTTAAAAACCAAATGTTTAACCGGATTGAATTCGCTTCTGTTGTGGTTAACATCAATGAAATGTACCTTTTTGGACCCATTCGTTAAAAAAACAAAATAAAGATTAGTCACTGAAGAAACCACCAAGCACTATGCTTGTTTGTTTCCTCTCGTAACACATTTCGATGACATCGTTCGCGAATGATGATGACGATGAGAGCGGGTACAAGATGAAGTCGATGATCACAAAGATTTTATCCCATTGACAAGTAGGAAGAGGAGAAAATAATACTTTGAATCAAAAATGTTTTTATTGAAGTCTCTCCATAGAGCTAGCTGTTTGTCCTCAGTTTAGGAGAAACACATTGTGAAACAAAAAAGAGAGTTTAATTTAAAGTGTAATCAAATCAAGACTCGAGACTCTCTTTGCTTTTAGCTTGTTTCTTATATTCTTTGTGGTGTATATGGTATATGTGACCTAAAAGGATCTATGTCTAGACTGAAGATCCAGCCAAACGTCTTCTTGATGCATTCGAAATCGAGACTTGACCCAATTTATCCGACTCCTTCGACTCATCTGTCGCCCTTCTCTCTCTCACTGGAGTGTAATGCCTCAGCCACACGCCCGTATACACCTGCAACATTCGATATCCCAATGAGCCATATAAGGTCTTAAGCAACTATCTCTGCAAAGATTACGGATAATTCTTGGAAGAAAAGAGACTAGCTAACCTGTTGCGGTCTCATGATCTTGGTGTCCGGATCATCCAACGATTCTTTCCAATGCGACAAGTATCCAGCCATGCGAGGGATAGCGAATAAGACCGTGAAGAACTCAGGTGGAAATCCCATTGCCCTGTTTCAATGGTCCAGGTTTGCAGCTTTTAGATGAAGTTGTTGAGAGGAAGCGATGAACACCGAACATGAATTAACAGTGTTACCTGTATATTAAACCAGAGTAGAAATCAACATTTGGGTAAAGCTTTCTCTTAACAAAGTAATCATCAGAGAGAGCTGCCTTCTCGAGAGTAACAGCTACCTGCAGATCATCAGAATTACATCTGTCAAATAAATTCACTTCAAAGGAGAAAAAAAGAAGTCACCAAACCGGAAAGGTGTGCATCAATTTTTAGTATAAGCTTGAACTATGCAGATAAGAGTACCTCAATTAGAGGATCCCTTCCGACAATGGAGGATACTTCATCTGCTAGTTTTTTTATGACTTTAGCAAGTGGGTCATAGTTTTTGTACACACGGTGTCCAAAACCAGACATCTTCCTCTTCCTAAAATATCAAATAGAGACGAATCTTKATGGAAAGTTTCATCATAATTCCTGAAAAAGAACACATATAGTTTCAATCACTGAATTTACCTGTTCTTCACACCCTCGATGAACTCAGGAATATTTTCAACAGTCCCAATCTCTGATAACATCTTAAGCACAGCCTAATGGAATGAAAGAAAAAAAAAATCAGACCATGAAAAATGCAAGTAACATATGAAGATAGGAGCATAAATAGCACACCTCATTTGCACCACCATGAAGTGGACCATAAAGTGCTCCCACAGCTCCAGCAACAGCGGTGTACACATCAACACCACTACAAGAAGACATCTCCTGATCAATATATCTTTTATCAAGGTAACTAAGATTCAAGCCAAAGAAATGTACCTCGAGGCAAGATGCCGAGCAGCAGCAGTGGAGCAGTTCATTTCATGCTCCGCATGCAGTATGAAGAGGATGTCCAACACCCGAGCCAACCGAGGATTGGGTTTGTAGGATCTATTTCCCCTGTGAGAACGAAGAGAACAAACGTGTTAGTGGCATGCTACAAGTTATGTACAATCTAACTAAATCAAGAAGAAATATATAGTGAGGACATTACAGGGAATCCAACATATACAGGAAATTCTCCGCATAAGAAAGGTTGCCTGAAGGAAGAACGGGAGGCCTCCCTGCCATCCTCAGATAAGCAGCTGCTGCAATAGTTGGTGCCTACAAACACATTTGATTTTATATACAGATTGTAAATCTTCTTTCAGGCCTAGAGGAAATTCACAGCACACATGTATTTTTGCAAGACTAAAATGAATAACACAAAACAGTCAATAAAAAACGAACATACCTTTCCAATAATGCGAATAATTTGTTTATCTCTAACTTGTTTTGAATTGTAAATATCCTGGCCCTGAACCCAATAGAGTATTAGTTAGCATGTTTAGGTGGAAATTATAATACGAGTAAAAAGGCGTGACATGTTATTAGAGGTTTAACTTACCCTAAGAGCAGGATTAGCATCAGGATGAAAGATGGAAAGCGCACTCATTGCACTCACAAGAACTCCCATTGGGTGTGCATCGTGAGGCATAGACTGTATAATATCCTGCGCGATAGTTATCAAGTAACTCAAGTTAGATATAAAAATACTTGTAAGTTAAAACCAGCATCAACATTATTTTCATTGGAGGCTTCGAATAATGCAGACAACCCTCAGAACAGTTAACTCTAAAGTCCTGTTTTTATGTTTCAGATTGGCATTTTATACATTGTCTCGAAATTTAAAATTCCATCTAGTGAGGACTAGAGAGACTCACTAATACTCCTTGTGGCACAGCTGAATGCTGTGAAACTGCAAACTCCCAATCAGATAGCTGACTTTCAGAAGGAAGATTCCCATACACTTGCATAAATATTTCAAAGAAGCAAAAACTTTCATCAATATCCAATTCGATCCTACCAACAAAATGACAAATCACTATCCCTAACCACAGATATAAAAAGAAATCCAGAACTAGCAAGATGCAACATGATCCAACAATACTCACTTAGTAGATATGCAACCTCCAGAAAAGTGCTACTCTCAGCCATTTCCTCTATTGGATATCCACGATAACGCAAGATCCCTTCGTCTCCATCGATGTACGAAATGGAAGACCGAACCGGAGCTGTATTCAAGTAACCAGGATCGTATAATTTAATCCCCTTATCTTCCTTCCCCGTCGCAATCTACAGTCCAACACACACACAAATCTCACTATTAAGCTCTATAATCATCAAAAAACGCCAAACAATAGTTCAAATCTGAGGTACCTTCTTGAGATCAACGGCTTTAACGGTACCGTCTTCTGAGACTGGAATCTGATATTTTTTTCCGGTGCGTTCGTCGATGATCGTCAGTGTTCCTTTTAACGATCCATGCGGTGAGGTACTGATATCCGCCGATGTAGACCACCGCTCGATCGCCGGAGATCCTTGACTACTCGATTCGACGGGATTCACTGCCGATAAATGAGAAGAGAGTATAGCCAATCGAGCTCTTACTCTCTCCGAAATCTCCATTTTCAACAAATTCAAAGAAGAGAACTATGGGTAACTCTTCTTTATATAACACGTGTTTCTATCCTCTGCGAGCAGGAGTATTGACTCATGTCCACGTGTATTAAATCTAACGGCTTATTTGATATCGACGGTGAAAAGTCTGACCCAGCTATTATCTTCTTCTACATTATCTGTCAGAATTATATGGGACCCACATCTCTACGTAAGGTGATTGGAAAATAAATTATACTCGCTCTGTGAGTGTGACAAGTGCACCTTAGTCGATGCGCGTGTGCTTCAGACGCTCTGATAGCGAGTAGAAGTTGATTGCTTTTCCTCGATTTGCTAAATATCAATGTGATTGCCGAGCAATTATTAATGGGCTGAATTTTTTATGTGGGCTTCTTAATATGCATCTACTGGCCCATTGAGCCTTTTTTTGTTGACACTTTCGCTTTGTGTTCTTAGCTCCTTTTTCACTCATTATTATTTATCAACCAACATTTTCTCTCAACTATGATTAATTTACAATGCAAAAAGTTTTAGATTTAAAGCAGACTAATCTTCGGAATCTATAAAAAAATCTATAGTATATTTCCAGTTAAGAAGTATATAATGGTCAACCATAACTAATATTATAGCTAAAATGATTCGAAGTATAATCTAGACGTAATGGTGGATTTTGATGTTGTGTGAACAGGAAGAAAAACCTATGATTCTATGAATGATCAAGAAGTAGTAGTCAGAAATACCGAACATAGATATCAAAGACATGGGAAATAATGTTTTTGATTCACTCTTATGTTTTATGTTAGTTTATTACGTTATCAACCTTATAAGTTTGAGTCTAATAACGTTTTTGAAAATATTTGAGGATATGAATTGAAAGTGATAGGTCTAATAAATGAATTGTTTACAGGGACTTGTCGTATAGTTTCATTGGTACCTAAAAATGGAATTTTAAGTTCCCCCACGTGAGGCTCTGAATAATGAGAGTGATAGATATTTCTTTCACTCATCAAATTTCGTTTTCAACTAATGAAAAAAAAACACTTTTTCTTACTATAATACCAAGTTACTAACACAAAAGAATTCAAATTTTATATGATTATTTAGAAGATCTTTCATGCTTAACTTTCACACGTCTAGAAAATGAATTCTTAAATATTTACAATAGCACGATTTACATCAATATTTTCAGTTTTTCAGCAAGCTAGGCCTCAGCAATTGATTAAAAAAACGGCAAGAAAGTACGTGAAAAGTAGATTTTACTAAAATATAGTATAAACAAAGTTTTTTTTCACATGAATGGAATTTAACATGAAAAAGTAACAAAAAAGAGAAATGTGTGAGAGAGGCAAAGGARAGGCCATTCTTGCAGGAAGAAAGCATGAGAAAGAGTAGTTGGATTTAGACAGATGACTGACAAATTATATTTTATTTTTTCTAGTTTTCTTCTATTTATGGTGCTTTCGTTTATTATCATGTTTAATTATATTAACCTATCATTAGTCACATCACATCCGCAAGATGTGTTCGATAAAAAAAAGATTATACAAGTATATAACCAAGATTTGTATACTCAAATCATCTTATTTTCTTTTGCAGATACGAAATGATCATATGCGCGTGTCTTCACGTTAAAGTACTATGACGGTATGACGCATATATATATACTCGCACATAGATACATCATGCAATATTGTTTAACTGTTTACGTAGTTTTGATTCTTTGAAAATTATTCTAAAATATGTCATCTACAAATTTCTTCGAGAAACCACAGTAGAATACTGGTTATAACGTGAAAGATATAATTATTAATTTATCATCTACATGTGTCTGTTAAAAA